AAACAACTTTTAAACTTGTTGCTAATTCTAATTGAAGTGGTTTAACATTTGTCAAAAGATCCCATCGTGGTATTCCATGTTGATCAAAACCATTAAAGCCAAGACCAGCTGCATTATTAATAGCTTCCGATACAATAAATGCAAAATAATATCTAAGAAAAATAAAAAAAAAATCATTTCTTTAGTATTTTTTCTTTTGTTTTGTTTAATATTTATATACTTACTTCGTTCGAGCACAAAATACTGTAAATACAAGAAACCAAAGTCGTTTAAACAATGGAGAATTAACCATTTTTTCACTTAAATTAGATTCTATTCGATAATATGGTGCATAACATATAAGTACATAACTCCAAAGTGCACATTGTGCAAGTTTTGTAAATACAGGCCAAAATGTAGATGGTTGTTCGATTGTCAATGATTGATCTTGTTCATCACTAGATTTAGCATTTGTTCTACTTATTGGTATAACAAGTAAATTACGTCCTTCAATAAAATCACGATAATCTTTAAAAAAACATAATGGTCCAACACATATTCCATGAAAATAAAATATATAACTAAGATATTCAATAGGATTTGGTATTTCAATAATTTTTTGTTTTTCTTGATCTTTACTTAATGTTGAATGTTCATCATCTTCATCTGGTCGTCGAAGATGAGCACGTTTTATTGAACGATAACCATCATAGAATGCAAAAGCAAGTGCTGTTAATTTTTGAGTATTTATCATTAATGGTCCACTTATATCAAGTGTATAATTCCCATAATCATATATTAAACGATGAATATGAACTAGATAAAACAAAATTCTTATTATTATTGTTTTAATAAAAGAATAACATACCTGCACTCATATAAATCATACAAAAAATAAATATAACAAGATATGAATGTTTTGGATGAATCACATAAAACATTAGATATGTAACAGATGATTGCACAATGATATGCCATATTTGTGAACCAAAACAAAAATGACAAATAGCAATGCCAAGAAAACTTACTAAAATTGATAAATAACCGATCTCTTAGTATTTTAAAGGTTTCTCTTCTATTATCCATTTGATTAAAACATTCTTTTTTATCAAAAAGATAGCGCTTGAAATTCTCTACAAAATCATACATGACTAGATTCTAACACTGTTTTAGATGTATTCGAAAAAAAAAGAAAAATGAAGACATACAAAAAGCTGTAAAAATGTAACAGATTGTGCATAATCAATGACCGCGCTTTGTATCTAATGTTTCCATCACTTCGTCCTATTCGAAAAACAAAATATACCAAAAGATGCAGCATAAAAAGCTCTACAATTTACAAAGAATAAATTATAAAAAGAGGAAATAAGAAAAAGCGAATTCACTTTGTATCAAAAAAATAAAATATTATTTTCGTACGGTCGAAATTTCATCGCTTAAAACTTTGTCCATTTTGAAAACGAAAAATGCAACTATAAAATAGGCAGTCTTGTGTAAACTGTAGAGCATTTCACGCTGCATCTTTTGATATATTTTGTTTTTCTAAGAGAGCGAAGTAAGGGATGAAAAAATGGGATGCAAAGCGCTGCCAGTCATTATGTACAACCGGTTTGCATTTTACAGCTTTTTGTCTGTCTTTATTTTTCATTTTTGTTTTCAAATATATCTAAAAGAGTTTTAGAATCTGGTCATATAGAATTTTGTAGAGAATTTCAAGAGCTATCTTTTGATAAAAAAAGCATGTTTTAATCAGAGAGATAATAGAGGAGAAATCTTAAAAATATTAAGAGGTCGGTTATTTATGACCCACCCGTTATTATCTAGTTTTCAAATGTCAGAAAAAAGTGAATCCTTCTTTGTCGAAATTTTCAACTAAGTTTCATCAAAAATAGTAACCTGAAAAAAAATCAATGAAGATAAATCAAGAAGAGAGACTGAAATACTCAAAGAACTTATTAGTAATACAGTGTGTTACAGTTCCGGATTGATAAACAGAACCGATTTCGATCACCAGTTCTTTGCAGAAATATTTAAATAAATGGTCAGATCTTTTCAAACGGACTGATTTCACTAAGCATCTCCTTTTAGTCTTATAATTAAACTGTACAAGTATGTTGGAATGGAACTGTTGAAAACTTAAAACTAGAAGATAATCAGTTGTTCAATAACTCAGTTCATATGAAAAAAAACTAATGACCGTAGTCAGTTCTCACGAAAAGAAAAACACGGATCACTAGACTCTGTTTACGTTCTACTTACAAAAATTTCTCTTTTTTTCTATTGTGTATTTGCTGCTATCCTTTATTTTCTGTTTACCCTGTGAGTTCTACTCATGAGTCCCTTGGTTGGAGTTAACTGAATTTGAAAAATCTAGTCTCTCCATCAGCGAGAAAAACAGTTCTTTTTTATAAAAACTAACTAGTAGGGCACTTTACCCATGAATTTCATAGGACGTCAAAACTTATTATATTAACATCTCTAATACGAATATGCAATATAAGCTCATATCTTGTTGTAATTCGCATATCAATCACATTTTTTCACAGAATTTTAAAAATGTGAACACAACAAATATATTATTTGGTTGTCATATTAACCTTGCATTTGAAATCATTTACACATATTAACAATAAACAGAAATACATTAGGATTTTCACTATTGTTTATCTTGTAATTAATCTGAATTATTTTTCGACAAAATAAATATTCTTTATGAAAAAATATCATACCGACTAAATGTCTGGAAAGTATATTGCTTTGTTTAGGTGGTAGAAAACGTCGAAAACATATTGCAAAAATTAATGACAATAATTCGGCGAAAAGAAAATTAAATTGATCAATTGGTAAACCGAGTATATTAGCAACAGGAGTAAGAAGACGTGAACCTGTATATGATGAAGTACTTGAATCACCCGCAGGTTGATCCATAATTGTTATCTTTTTTGTGGTTAATTCAATTTATTTTCAACAATAAAAATATAAAAATTCGTCTAGAAAGAAAAAAAGTCAAATAAATGATGAATAGATATCGGCTACAAATTACAGAAGATAAAACATACATGATATACTTTCACAAGCATACAAAATAGAGCATATACTATCTTTTATGTTACAAAGAGAAACTTCTGAAGTTGAAAATCGCTTTTCATTTTGCATAAGATAAATCTCAATGACGTATGTGAAATTTCAAAAAGGATAAAGGAATATTGACCTTCCTCAAAGAATTATACGTGTCTTACTAAAATTTGAGCCTATAGTATGGCATGTACAAAAGAATGAATGACAATATTTTAATTTAAAATTTTCATCTTAGATTATAACTAGAATGTTTTGAAAATATTAATTGAAAAAAATGTTTCTTCGACGAAAGATTCAAAAGTCTTATTTCTTTTTGGGAAATTGAATATCTCATGAAAGGAACTTTGTTTTACGGTGAAAATTTCAAGACATTCAAGTGACAATTTATGGATAAAATTTCAAATCAAAATATCGCCATTAGATTTGTCCTTTTGAAATTTTTACTAATTTAGTGAGGCTTACTTGTATCCATAGAGTCCGAATTCAAAAGCAATATTTAAGTTGTGAAGATTCCTTCGACAGTTCGTCTCATACGTTTACAACATTTAGCTTATCATAAATATGTTTTAAAAAAAAAATGTGCAAATTTATTATAAAAAAATTCATTTCATGTACTAGAAAAAGAATAAATGAAAAATATATAATAAATTTTTTTAAATGTAGAATGATAACCTTGGAAGTGGAATGCATAAAGATCATTACTCATAATATGAGTTATGAAGTTTTTATAGTTTGCATAATGTGCAAAATGACGTCAATAATTACATATAGTTATTCATCATTTTTATTAGCTTTTATTCCGAGAAAAAAAAAATTCTGTCTACCATCCGGAACTTATATTCACGATTCAAATAAGCTTCCTGTTCTCTCATCAAAATATACTCACCGAAGAGAGTGAGTGGTTTTCTTTTTAATACGTTTGCATTACTTAACGAAAAAAAAAAAAAAAGCAAAAGAAATAAAATAAAAAACGATGATGATGATGATGATGATAACAGTAATAAGTATGTTTATTTTTCATGTTTAGATACAAAAGAAAAACAAAAGAAACAATGAGTACACACATACACAGAAATACACAAGGTAAATTTATTTGTTCTAGAATAATCTCATTTAGTTTGTGTTCCTGTTTGTTGTATTTGTTGTATTAAACTAATATTATCACCTTTAAGTAAAATTCTTCCAATTTTTTTTCGTTGATTTTTTTTTAATAAAATTTCTTCAGCATCATCCAAAACAAGATTCATATATTCATCAAAACCAATAATATAACCTTCAATACGTGTTGTTGTTTGTTCATATAACCAAACTTGTATACGTGAACGATTTTGTAAATATCGAAATATTAAATTAATTGGTTGTACCATTACTTTTTGTACTTTAGTTGGTGGACCTCGTGTTGCCATATTTAAATCTAAAGCAAAAAAAAAATAATAATAATAATCATAATAAGCGATGTTGACTTCTTTTATTTCTATAAAAAATTCTTCCAAAAGAAAGAAAGAAAAACAAAACATACACACAATGAAATGCCTGGCTGAATTAATCAAAGATATATACAAACGCATACATAGAATATATACATTTTGTAAATTATTTACAAAAAATACTTCTCTTTTCCGTCTGAATTTTCTGATCACCAACAAAAAAAAAAAAGAAAACGAACAAAAATTGCACAGTAAATACTCGCAGGATTAATTTCATAAAAGAATATGTTTGCTGGATTGAATAGAAAAAAAGAAAAACAAAACGAGATCACTCGAAGTAACTGAATGTTTTTTTCTCCCTTTTTTTTTTTGTTTTTTTCGAACAAAAAAAAAAATACAAGATTCACTGTTAAGATTGTTTTTTTTTACTGACAAAAAAAAACAAACAAACATTTGATCTTTACAAGAATTACATATAATATAGATATATGATAGTAAAATAAAAAGAAATTTATATCAACTAGCAACAGCAGAAGAACGTCGATGACAATTTGGATGATATGGTTTAAGTAGATGAAGAATTGATTTCAATAATTGAAGTATCAATGGATCTGAATATTCAGATAATAATTGATCATCATATAAGTTTTGCATTATGTCATAAATTTTTTCTTCACGAATTATTCGACTATATCGAGCACCTTAAAAAAACAAAGAGTTACCAAAGATTGTTTTGTGCTTCTATTCTAATATATATATAAACCTACGATCTGTACTACAGACATGATGAATAGCCCATACTGCCCATAATTGTACGACCGGTAGTCGAGTACAATGAAGCAATGGTAAAAATGGTTTGAAAGATCTAAATATGAGAAATTCATAGGAAAATCATTCATGCGTGAAATATAAATATTATTAATAATTGTTAAACGGAAATATCACTATTTTCTATAGAGAGGAAAAAAATAACTCTTTTTTTCTACGGATATGCACATTTGAAATGAGTTTTTTTTCTAATTGGCAATGTATGGAACCAAGGCTATTCCTAGTGTTCACATCAAATACATAAGAAGTTTTACATACAAATGCATCTCTTATCTTTTTTTTCATGTTTGTTCATTGTCTAATTAGTTTGAAATTAAAAAGAAGAAGCATATTTTTTTTTTGGATTGTAACTTTAATTTTCATTTTAGATTTTCAATAAATTTTTGCAGTTTTTAGCTTCCGCATGACGAGAGCTTTGACAGTATCAATACATATTTTTCTTTTTTTAAGTTAAAAAACTTTACGAAGATTATTAAACTATAGTCTAGTATTAAATACAAACCTTATAGTTAGTGTTTCTTATTTTCACTCTCAGATTCTCTTATATACAAAGTATAAACATATCGATTCTCTATAATAAATATTCTAAGTCTTGATGGCATATGTGTACGCCACTCTATAGTCAGTTATTACTAAATTTTTCAATAGTTTATTTGATTAAACGTCTAAAGTTCTCTTTCAATCATACAATGTAATCTTGTATATATATATCCTACAGTCTACTGCTTAAAATTCATATAAAAATTTTCTTTCTACTTAGTGCTATTATGAATTTCTAATGATAAACATGTAAAACTACACAGCACAATAATCCTTCGAAAAAAAAAATATATTCAAGAATAAAGATGTGAGTCAATGCATTGATTGAGAACTACAAAAGTCTTCGACTATGGCGCAATAGTTCAACTGTTTAATTTACATTTCTATTCAAGAAAGTAGTTGAATTCCGACTAGTTTACATAATAATCAACTTTCTGTGTCTATTCATGCAATCTTTAAGGTTATTTTCATTTAGTTTTTTTTTTTACCTATATGTAACCATATTTGTATGTGGCTTTTGCCATGATACAATTGTTTCTCTCATTTGTTGACATAATTCTAAATTAATTTCATTATCATTTTGTTCATAAAGTAAATGTGCTAAAATTCCAACAGCTGAAAAAGCAACATCAAGTATAGCTTCAGTTAAATATTTTTGCATTAATGGAATAATATCAATTGAATAAAGATAAATTTTTAAATGTGATACTTCAGCTATATTACTTAATAAACCAACAATTTTTGTTAATACAATTGTATCAGTTGAAAATAAATTAAGAAGACGTTGAAATAATTGTAAACCCATTGATTTAATAAAATTTTCACAAACAATTCCATTTTCATCTGTTAAATTCCATAATAAACTTAAACAAAAACGTAATGTATCATCACTAGTTAATTGTTGACTATGATTTAATGTTATATCAATATCAGTTAATGTTTGTTGATTTTGTTCATTGTGTGCTTGTTGATTTTGATTTAATTGTATTGCTTGTAAACGATCAATTTGTTGTTCAATTAATTGAATTAAACGTTTTAAATTTATTATTGAACCTAATTTTGTACATTCATCAATTGTTAACTTAAATATAAAGAAAATAAAAAAACAATATATTTCAATTGTTTTCGAAAATAATGATAAAGAAAAAAAAATCGTGTATTTAATTTAATCATAGATATGTTTCAAGTATTTACAAATATTATCTAATACAAAGAGAAAAAATTGAAGTCGAGTGTAGGGATCTGCAAAATGACGTTTTTCTGGTCCCAGTCCCGGTCTCAGTCCCGGCTAAAATTTTTTTTAGTCCCGGTCTCGGTCCCGGTGTTTATTATAGCTAAAATTTTCTATTTTCACATGTATCAAAAGTCATGATAGACTTTTCTTCAGACTACAACCACTCTATATACATGTCGATTGGCATAGTACTATTTGAGAGTGAAAGAAATATTTGTAATCTGAAGAAGTACCTAAGAACCTGTATGACTAGGACTAAAATTTTTAGGGCTAGTTCTAAAACTTTTTTGCAAGATTAAGCCTAGATTTGATGTTTTTTCCTAAACTGTGATTTGTAAAAGGCTTTTATCGGATTTGGAAACAAAAATAGTCGATTTACAGTTTTCTTTTATCAGGACATAGTAAAAAATGTGAAAATATATATTAGAGATACTTGGTAAAAAGAAGCTGACCGGTACCAATCTGAAAAAGTTTTAGTCCCGGGACCATTTTGCAGATCCCTAGTCGAGTAAATTATTTAATTCTTCAAATTCATCAAGATCGTTTTCCTTCAAATTTTTTCAGTTTCATTAAAATATTCTAGTCGATTTTAAGAATATCTTGTTTCTAATAAACTTGATGGATATCATTTTGAGAATGTTCATGATAAAAATTGTATATGAAATATATTTTTCTGAATCATTATGCAGCTGCCTTTCCATCAGATGATAATGTTCTGCAAATGAAATACATATTAGAAAAATTTCATGAAAATTTAATTCTACACTTTGAGAATTAAATGTAAACAATTCATTTTAATATAGAAATGAAATGTATATTATATAGATTGACTTAGGTAAAGAAATTCATCTCATTATTTTCATCTGCCTTCATTCAAACTCAGAGCAATGAGTCTAGGTAGGGACCTGAAAAATCGGTCTTTTTTGTCCCAGTCCCGGTCTTTGACAATGGCTTCATTTCTAAAACGGAGCAACTATTTTTTTACGATCTGTGCCCTTATAAGATTCTGATAAGACTTAAATAAAGAAATGATTAAAGAATGAACGAATTAAATTTACGTATATAGTGTTGTGTTGATTGTTTTATATGTATTCAAAAACCTGTGCAATTGGAAAATTCGGATTCTTGCAAACAGACTCGTAATCAGTAAAGACTTTTATAGAAATAGCAAATAAAAATATCTGATTTACAGATCTTTAATTGTGTCAAAATAATAAACGTGAAAATATATTGCATAAAAAACTTACCGGGACCACTTTGCAGTTCCCTAACTCTAGGACCAATATTCGGCAGGCTACTCCCGGAAAAACATTGTACGAATTTAGACACATTTGCAGACGAAGGTGGAAGACACACTCTAGTTCTTTATTCAATCAGAAATTCAAATTTATTAATATTCGTTTTACAACAAAGATCTTTTCAGACAGATTGAAACGAATGTATATTGCTTTAGTATGTCTTTAAACTAAATCCGGCAAAATTCTTTAATATTAATTTTTTGTTTTTTTACTTACTCTTGTTGTTAATAAAGATAAAATAGCTACACCAGGTTGTATAATAGCTAAATCAGTATAATTCAGTAAATTATGCATAACTAATGTAGCTAATAAACAAAAATTAAAATATGGTTCATGTAAAATTCGATCACTACATAATGTTAATAGGCAATTTTTTTGTAACTTAAAAACAAAATCAGAAATGAAAATTTATTCGAAAAATTGAATTTTGTTTTTTTTTTTTTTAGTATTATTATTTTACTTGTTGTTGATTTGGAAATGTTGCCATAGCATTCATTGTTGCTTGAACAATTTGTGATAAATTTTTAATATGTATGTGTTCTGTTATTGGTGTACGTGTTAAATTATAAATACATGCTGTTGATGCCATTTGTACATTTTGTAAATTTGAATGTATTGACATAATATGTAGTATAAGTTCAATAAGAAGATTTTGTTGTTTTGAATGAAATGAACGTGTTAGAAAAAAAATATAATAAAGAATTTTTTGTACAAAACCAGATCGATCACGATAACGTGTTAATGATTCAATAAGATATGGTTCATATAATATTAAATCATTTTCTGTTAATAATATAGTTTGTATATGTTGTAAATCATATGTATAATGACGATATTTTGAATAACATAAATCATTTATATCAAATATAGATGGTGAATATTTTTCATTAGTTAAAAATAAACCAAGAAATTGTAAATTTTTATGATTTAATAAAAATTGACGTAATGATATTGATGATATTATTTTTTGTCCACTTATATCAAAATGTTTTAAACGTGGTAAACAATTATCTTGACGTAAAAATTTATTTATATCATTTTCATTATCAATTATTGAATTATTATTATTATTATTATTATCAAATGTATTATCATTACTTATATCTAAATATTCAAGATATTTTAATTGATATAATATATGATATATATTAGGATTTTGTTGCATATGAAAACAACAATTATATAAATTAAGCCATTTTAATTTAGATGATAATTTTAATAATGAATTAAATAATTTTATTGAACGACATGATGATAAATCAAATGTATCAATATTATGTAATGAATCAATTATTATATCAATACATGGATTTTTAATATCTGTTGAACTTAAATTTAATGATGTTAAATTTGTAAATTTTAATAATAAACGAAGATTTGTTGGAATAAAATTTACTGGTGTTGACATTGTTGAGGATGGAATTGTCGAACTAAATATAAGAAAATTAAAATTTCATATTTCATCTAGTTTTAATCAAAATCACAATTCATAAGAGAAATTCTCTAACTGATCTATAGTTTTTGAGGCGAGGAAGAAAGAATAATTTGTATATTCAGCATCTGTGCATTATGGGATGTTTTTTAGCGGTATATTCATTCGCCTAATATTTTCCCGACAATAAATGCTAGCTGTAGGTCTGAGCAAAGGATCAGCCTAATGCAAAGGTTTTACCCTCAATAGGTTGAGCTTACCATACACATTAACTAGCCATAAGAGCAGGTACCTCTCATAACATGCTATTGGAGAGGTGATCCGAGGCAAACAGCCATTATTGACTTACCCATGGTCATTTCATGGCTGGTTATACCAAGGTTTAAACACAGCAGCTATTGGGTATATACCAAACCATGTAGCCACTCGTGGAAGAATGTAACCGACTGATAACTTTCGTTTTAGGTCATAGGTAGGACTCGTGGTGTAGATGAAACTTCTATAAGGAGTTCATGCCACTAGGCCTTATTTTTCGCGATATGACCATTTTACCGAACTTTCAATCTATCGTAGGATGTCGCAAAAACAATTGCAAGGAGTTCCAATCTGAAATTCTCCTGAACAGTAACTCTCATGATCCTTATGATTTCTTTGTAAGATATCAAATCCCTCGAAACTGAGCTATTTTTGAAGCTCTTGTGTAAAACTAACATTTTTTCAAACGTGTTATCTTACAAGAAGAATATCCATTTGTGCTGATTTCTCGTGATATCCTGCAACGAACTGAAAGTTCAGTAAAATGATCATAACTTGAGAAGAAGGGCTTAATGACACGAACCCTTTTGAGGTTTTGATCTAAACTTTGAGTTGTATCTATGAATAAAATATGAGTTTAAACGAAGATTATCAGTCGGATGAATTCTTTCGCTAACCATGATGACCTTGAGTCGAAACTATGTGTATGAAGTAGATTTATATGAGCTATTAATATCTTGAAAAGAGTTCATGTCCTTAGCTTATTTTTGTGTTCCTCAAGGAATAGTCCGGACTTGAAAGTGATTTGACACTTAAAGTATTCCTTTGTTGAAAAAGTTTTTTCACATCGATAAATTTGAAATATTGTATTATTGAACTAAGGCTAGACTCTATCAGGCTGGTCCCGACTCAACAGCCAATTAAAACTTGATTATTATACAATCATCGCTAAGATTGTTTGAGAAATGTATAGGGCATAGTACCGGAATTCAGAACACCTGTCAGACTTAGATTAAAAATTTTCTTTGAATCTAGAAGTACGGTTCGAATACAGATTCAAAAGTGTTAGATACGACAGACTCTTCTTATCGATATAACCATCGATGACTCTGCTTTTATTTTATCATTTTAATTATATTGTGCTTTGTCTTTTATGTGATGTAACAATCTTTTTCCTCATTTTCTCATTTCTGTTTCCTACCCACGAAGATATGTATGAATTATTACGTTCATGTCTATAATGTTGATATCATGATTAATTGAAAACAATATTCAATTTTTTTAGGGTTGTTAGTTTAATAGTTGTTTCAGTAAAGACATGCTAATGTGTACTTTGTTCATCATGTTTAAATAACAATACCTACTTTATATTAATTAGGTTTTCAGAAGAACGGATAAAGTTTTCAAGAGGTTATACAAAATGTATTTTAAGAACACTGATTATATAATAAAGACAATACTTTTGAACATGACTACGATAGGATTACCGCATCTCCTTTTGTTTTTTTTTAGAGACTTAATCATTTGGATCGAAAGTTAAGCTCTTTTTAGATGCCAACGACGTCACATCTTAGAGAGAGATGTTAAATATAACTCACTAAGGATTTGTCGCTGACAACGAAATTCAAGATAGAGATGTGCAAGGTAGAATAAAGGCTAGAAAATTTTTCTTAATCAGGGTATAGAATGCGAAAAAAGCTTATCCTAGCCATCTCTAATATGACACTAATTTGTTATTTTTTACTGTTAGAGTTTTCTAACTTAAAGGAGAGTGAAACAACAATTTTATGGAGTAATTAAAGTCTACAGGTTCTATAGGGTGAGTACTTAATTCAGATTTTCTCTTCCAGAGAAGTGATTTAATACTCCGAGATGAAAAAGATCTACTATTGAGACCAGAGATGAAACCTATACCGGTTACCGATAAACCGACCTTTCTAACCTTTTCAGACTAGCATCAGTATTAGTTGTCAAGAATTTAGACTGGTTCCATCTCTATATCAGACATGTGATACAACTTGGCAAATCAAGTTTGCCACGCAATAAACCATATTCTCCATATCTAAACTACTTTTTTTTTTCTTCCTTCACTCATCGATGTATCATGCATTACGGGTAGACTAACCGGTCCGGTTCGATCTGAAGTATTTTACACCGGTTCCATCTCTGGTTGAGACCATACACACATAGTACATGCTACAATAATTCTAAAAATTTGGAACGATCTGTTTGATCTACGGAGGAGCACCGCTTATTGATTCCTACGCTGAACAAAATATTGTTAAATTTAGAAACATGTTGAAGAAACGTAAGACAAATGTCATAATAGTATATTTAGAATAGTGCAAGAGCTATTCGACGCCAATAAAGTTACTTTCAAACTTACCATTTTGTCAATGGTGACATATCAACAAGTGAAGATTTTCGTGCAGCAGTCGAATGAGAAGCAGCAAAAAATTTATAATGTGATAAACTTAATATTTTTAAACGTTCAATTGTCAATGGATGTAAATTATTAAATATTCCATTTAATAATTTATGATGTGAAAATTCATCTGACGAATTTGGTAAACTTTGTAATAGGGAATTATTTGATATTGAATTACGTCTTGGTTCTGTTGATAATAAAGAATTATTTGACATTGAATTACGTCTTGATTCAGTTTGTAATAGAGTATTATTTGATATTGAACTACGTCTTGTTTCAGTTTGTAATTGTGAATATAAATGATGTAAAATAAATGGACCATATATTGTATAAATTTCATCAAATTTTGAATAAATTGATGGACATATATGTTGATAAAAACCTTCATTTGTCATATTAATTGTACGATTTGAATTTGAATCAGTAAATATAATATCTAATTCAATTATATTTGGATGTTGATTAAGTATATGACATTGTAAACGACTTAAATATTTAACATTAATAATAAATCTTTTAAGACATGTTGTATTTGATGAAAATAATGATAATGTAAAATCATTCAATTGATCATGTGCAACTAAATAATTTACAAGATGTTCTGATAATATGGAATTTAATGGACAATATCCATGAAGAAAATATTCAATAAATAATCGTTGATTATGAAATATTATTTTATCATATGTATTATTTATTGATTGTATTGGTAATTCTTCATCAATTCGACAGGATTCACCACGATGATGTTTACGTTTTTGTTGTTCAGTTAAATTTAATTTAGCTTGATGTTTTTCTTCACGATAAACTCTATCAACTTGTTCTTCAATTTGTTTTTTCCATATTAATTGATCAGATTTTAATAAAGATGAAAATTTACGCAGACAAATTGTACATAATTTATCTGGATTATCAACCATCGAAATATGTTATCTTATTGTTATTTTTCGTTTTATTTGGGATATGGATCAAAGGGAATGCCTATGGGCAATAATAATAGAAAATTCTCAAGGAATCAATCCATGGAGAATTTATATCTTAAAGAAAAACAAAAACAAAAAGAAAAATTTTAGAGAATAATTGAACAAAAATTAAGAACAAGAAAAAGATGAATATTTTTTTTTTAATGTACTTCACTTCAAACTAGAGAATAAAATATCATTAATCATATTAAACCCATAGAAATCAAAAAAAAAAAAAACGAAAACAATATAACAATAATTAACTAATGATTATGACTTTGACCATGAGCAGTACTATCATACTCATGTAGTTGACTATGAGTGTCATTTGTGTATGGTGATGCGCGAGATGTTTGTTGTACAAACGCTGGAAAAGCATTAGTGACGGTAGGATTGAATTGAAAAGGTATTTGTTGTTGTTGTTGTTGTTGCTGTTGAGAGTTAGCGAATACAGAAGGAGGTATAGGCTGAAAATATTGTTGTTGAGGATTAAATAGAGGCATAACAGGAGGTGGAATAATAGGAGGTAATTGATAGGTAGAAGCTGTATTTGTTGATTGTTGAGAAGGAAGAGGAGGAGGCGGAGGTTGAATATAATTTGAAGTTGGAATAAAATTAGAAGAACTTGAAGGAACAGCAGTTGGTACAACATTGGATGATGATGTGTTCAGTGTTATATCACCGAATTGCCTTTAATGAAATAAAAATATATTTTAATATTACGATAATATATAGTTTTATTTTTTTTTTGAGAATGGAAAAAAAGAGAATATTAATTGGAATATATATACTGAGAAAATAGAGTTCGTAAAGTTTACCGTGACAGGAACTCAATTTTACAGTAAAATACTAAGCCAATGATCTTATAAAATATATGAATCAGCGCATTATTAAAGACAGATAAAGAATTATTTTAGATGTAATACGAATAAATTCTACGACATTTTTCTCTTAATCGGAATCCTGAAATCAGGACAAAGAAAAACTTGGTTTCACATAGCGCTCGTACGCCTCGGCGCAGATATAAAAGATTAATTACGCCAGTAAATTTTGTTTTCATTCTTGAATTATAAAATTCATCTTTCATATTTGACATGTATGATAGATTTGGGTGCAAGAGAAAGCCGTAAACAAAAAGAAAATGTAATAACTAAAGTATGATTTTGTTTGAGGTTAAGCCGTATGTTGACTTATTATTACATTTTTTTTTATCAACATTTCCCGAAGGAATGATAAAATGTATTTTATGAACTAACGAGATTTGATAGTTCATGACAGGATTTATTGTAAACAACATACTTTGTAACAATTTCTTTCACTCTTGAAAGTTTTAAAGTAATATGAAACAAATCAGTTAAAGCCCAATATTATAGTTATTCTATTTACAGGTAATTATCGTCTATTTCTGCATAGCATTACTTCCTACTGTGCATGTAACCAATAAGGATTATAAATGAATACAACAGCTGCACTTTGTATTTCAATTTTTAGTCATTTAATACGTTGTAAAAAAAAACAAAACAATAATTACACATGGTACAAGGTGAAAATTTTTACAATTTACAATGAACAGCTTATTTTAAATGTGCATCTTGTGTTTTTAAAATGAATAAAATTTTGTGCAACTATGATTACAGTCTCCGATATGACTTATTAACCGAAGTATTCAGAAATAGCAATTCGTCATGTATCAAAATTGTATTGCTCAAAATTTTGTTTATTTTTAAAAATGAAATGGGCTACTATCCGATGAAAACTGTGGACCTTTCTATGTTACATCGTGTGATAGCCTGTGCTTTTTAACATAATATTATTAAATATTAAAATATAAAACGCACCAATTTATTATGCCCTATCCATCATTAATAATGAAAGTGTATTGAATAATTATCAACAATACTTTTGATTAATGAACTGTAAACATTACATATTTTAGTGAAGTAAATTTAGATCACTTATTGCGTATTTTTTTATGAGAGAAAAACAACTATTTCGTTAAGCTATGTACAAAACTTTATATGATATTGAGATTGAATCTTATTGTTTAAAGTAGAATGATTATTTTTAGAAGTTTTCATTTGATCGAAATTATAAGAAAAGTTTTAATTTTATTCATACTTAGAAAATTGACTAGGATCCGTAGATATATTTGTTGTTGTTGTTGTTTCATTCGTTGTATTAGTATTAATTTGTGGTGGGATAATTAAACTTGGCATTGTAACTGTTATTGGTGGCATATTAACAGGTTGAAGTGTAAAACTTAAATTTGTTCCAGCTGTTATATTTGGTGGAGGTATTGAAGAAAGTAATGGAGCTTTATCACCATTAAGTATTAATGGATTTGATTTTGTTACTGGAGGTGAATTTATTGGTCGTAATGGTATTCGATGTAAATAACCATAACCAATACCACAACCTAAACTACCTTCACCACCCCATCCAATATTTGGTGTAAGATTTATTTCACGTGTTGAATCATTTTCACAATTATAAACATAAAGTTTAAGTGATTTACCTTGATTACTTTCAATTAATGCATAAAAATCTTCTGAATCATTTAATAATGTATCAGCTCCAATAATATAATCTGTATTAGAACGTAAACCAGCTAAGGCAGCTGGTGAATGAGGTTGAACATCAAGTACATGCCAAACATTTTCATTTGCTTTATCAAATGAAGAAAAACGTATACTTAAACCCAGTAAACCCTAGAGAATAATTTTCAAAAAAATAAAATAGTAAAAAAAAACAAAACAAAAACTAGACATTTATTATTTACTTGACCACCCCAATTTTCATGTGGAGTTAATTGTAATTGTCTAACTGTTTGTGTTTTACTGTTAAAAACAAGTAATTCAACTGGTTTATTAATATTTTCTTTTAAAGTTTCTTTAAATTTTTCATTGTCTGTATCAAGTCGAACACCATTTATACTAACAATAAAATCAAAATAAGGCTCTAATCCGGCTTTATGTCCTGGTGAACCATGTTGAACACGTAGAACATGAAAACCTTCAGTACCACCACCCGGAATATTTAAACTACTACCACCAAGACCCATTCGCAGTTAACAAATGCCAATTAGAAATTTCTTTCTTTTTTTTTTTTTTTGTTTTTTAAGAAAAAAGAAAGAAATGGAATTTCTAATAAATGAGATAATAATCGTTGGTGAACATGACACGCTTCCTTATTGGACCAATAGAATTCTACACTTAGAAACATTGTTTTATTTCAATAAAAATATAAAATACATTTTAAAATCGAAGATGAAAGGAAAAAACTTGCATTTTTATTATTTTTAATATTATTCAAAAATGAATTATATGTCTTCAATATTCGAGCGACATCTATTTGAAGGATTTACGTTGTTAGTACAAATAGACTAACCAGGTTAAAAAATACGGACCATTTTCAGTCGACAAACTCGAAAAATTGATAGAAACACGGTAGCAAAAGTTCGATGACGGACTAAGTACGGTTACGATCGAAACTAGAAAAATTCAAACATCATAGAGTAAGAGGTCGAACTTTCGACTAAGAGTTAAATTAGTCTCATTAATCCTTATAAAAATGCCTTATTTCTTTGATTAGTGGCAACATTCTGTGGCGCTTAGCACTACGGAATACAACAAATAATTGAAGAAATGAAATTAATGAGATCAATCAGAGTCTGGATCAACATTTTTATTATGTCATAGAGTTATTGAATAGACAAACACGAGATATGCAAGGTGTCTTAACACTCCATCTGAGAAACCAATGGGAATACTTGAATATTTTGTTTTCAGTGTTATAATATGTTATTTAGTATCGATTGCAAAGTTTGGTAATTTCAAGTTGATCTTGTAAATCTTTTTTTGTGACATTATTAAACAAAATATACTTTACATAGCTTAATCGGAATATATTCAGATGTATTGTTATTCGTAGAATGAAATAGACTGTTGCAATAGCTCAAACATTGACACTATCATGAACTATATCAATTTGCAACTGTGTAAGTTATGTCTTCAAACGATAAATGTCTCAAATTTGATGATTAGTTAAACAAATTGTATTCAATTATCTATGACCATAAAAATTTATTTGAAAATTTTTAGAATAAATTTCCAACAAATATTCTATCATATAATATTGGCAACAAAAAATAATATAAAATATTTATTTTAATTAAAAAATATTCACATATCATATTTCTTGCTGTGTATACTAATGAATAATCTCTATTAATTTGTCATATTCGTTAATTGCAACATTAAACCAATGTATAAGTTCTTGTCTACTAACATCGAATTACTAGATTTTATTAACAGTAAATAAATAATCGAAAGTATTAAAATTAAGTTTTTAACTTAATGATTTAATCAAACGAAATACACATAAAATACATTTATTGTTTTTCTCTTCCGAAAAAAAAACAACGATGCAGAGATTTGTTTTTTTTTTCTTCAAATACGACATAGAAACACATAAGATAAATATTTGACTAGTACAAACACTGTACATAACTACTGTCAAAATAATTGATCGTTTTTAATCATACACAACCGAACAATAATAAACTTCGTGCTTTTTTATAAAAATTATTTAATATATATGTATGAGAATCTTTTTGTTCAAGTTTAACAACAGCAAAATGACTTTGTTGCATTGAATCTTTTGTATCACCAAGTTCTAAATCTCCTGAAAGTATATAACCATCGGATAAATCATCATCAGTTATTTGTGATGATAGAATAAGACGAAAGAAACAATCCGTATGTCGTTGAAATTGACCAGTTATCTGTAAACGACCATTACCCAAGCATTTCATATGACCTCTAGAAAAATAAACATATTTTTATATAACATCTATATATATAGTATGATTAGTTATTTTCGATAGTTAAGAATACTAATATGAAATTTTCTGAACTCATCATCATATCATACACAAATATAATAGAAGACAATTTTTC